GGGCAGTGGGGGAGGCACGGCAGATCGTAAGTTTGAACGTGCATTGCGTCCTAGAGGACTTGCATTCGTTCCTGCTCACGTGCCCTCGCGCTCTCTCTCCCTCCCTGGCTCCCTGCCTCCCTCCCTCCCTCCCTCCCTCCCTCCCTCCCTCCCTCCCTCCCCACCCCCTCAAGAGCCACAGCTGCCGCCCCCCCCCGCCCCCGCGCAGGCTGCCGCGCGGCACAATGCCCTGGTCGGCTTCGCGCCGCTCACCGCCCCCCTCACGCTGCCGACGATGACGTGCGAGTTTTCGTTCGACGCGCCCGAGACACCCGGCGAGTACAAGGTGGGCGCTGCACCGCCGAGATTGCACGAGATTGCACGAGAGTTTGCCCGAGGCAACCCGCCGCCGCTTGACACGCCCACGACGCGCCCACGACGCGCCCACGACGCGCCCACGGCACCGCACCACCTCCCGCAGGTGATGGTGCATTGCCGCTCGACGGGCTGCGTCGGGGTGGACGTGCGCAAGAAGGTCACCTTCAAGGTCCTCCCCGCCATCTTTGTCAAGCGGCCCGCGCCGGCCGCCACCGCAAAGGCCGAGGAGGCGGTGAGCCCCCCCCCCCCTTCCTCCCCGCCCTTCCTCCCCGCCGCCCTCCCCGTGCTCGCCCCCTCACCCCCACCCGCCACCCCCCACCCCCACCCCACCCCCACCACCACACTGCACCACCCCACCACCACCTCCACCGCCGCCGCCGTCTCCCCGCTGCCGCCTCCGACCCTCCGCCGCCCGCGATGCAGGAGGAGGAGGCGAGGGAGCGCGAGCCGAGGGAAGAGCAGCCGCCGCCGCTCGAGGCGGAGGCGCCGCCGCCGCTGATCGCCGCCGCCTGAGCGGGCTACCCTCGGAGGACTGCTCTGTTTGGCACGGCGTTTGATGCCGCAGCCGTTGCATGTCTGTGCTCTTGCTTTGGGACTCGCTCTTGGAGCATGGAGTCGGAGAGGGGGTGAGGGGGGCGCTGAGAGAGAGGAGAGAGGTGAGACGCGCGGCATTGTGCAATCATTGTCTCAAAAATGGCGTTTGTTGAAAACTATGCATGTATGAATGGGGACGGCTCGATTGGATGAAGATTGAAGTCGGCCAGAGCGCAAGACCTGGAGGTGTGTCTCGGCCGTCGCGCCGCGTCGGCGGCCGGGTCGGGCGCCGCGCGTCGGTCGACGCGGAGCGGCGCGCGATCGACCCGGGAGGGGACCCGCGAGCACGCTTCGTCGGCGCCCGACGAGGGCCCGGTGCGGACACCGTGCGCGCACGAGCAAAGAAAAGAAAGAGAGAAACCTGCATGAAGTGAGGGATGGGACATGGACATGGACATGGACATGGGAGGACAGCACGCCGCCACCGTGCAAGCCCCGCAGAGGTGCGGGCGAGAGGGCGGCCCGAGCCCGAAAGGGCCCGCCCTCGACCTTGCTCTACATGGTAACGGATAAGAAGAGAAACTATGGAACGGGACACGCTGTGGTTGTGTGGTTCAGACGTCCCCCCCCTCGACGCAGTCGAGTGACTCACATGAATAGGGAGGAGAAAGTGTCCCCCACATATCACCACAGACGCAGCACAGGGGCTCCAATCCTGTCCCAGCCTGGGGGCCTCGGCTAGATCTCCAGTGGGGAGTGCGAGGGCTGGATCGACTGCAGCGAGAGTGTGGGTTGTGGACCGTCCCACCAGGGATAGCGTGTGGCATAGATGTTCCCCTGGAAGTAGAGAGGCTGATGTCTCTCGCCCTGCAGGAAGGAGAAACTCAGACGGAAGAGTGAAAACTCCTCCCTGCGGCATGTGCGCAGAACGGCTTGCGCAATGTGCGGCATCGTGTTGAGGGCTCGGGAGGGCAACGACGGCAGCGTTGCCGAGCTTGTACAGGGGCCTCAATCCTGTCCCCGATGGGGTGCGCCTCTCGCCGCGCGCGTCGTCGAGTACGACGAGATGTCCAAGTTTCGCGATGCGTACATGGCCATCGTCGGCGGGCTCCTTTGGCTTGCGAATATGACGCGCGTCGACATCGCCTACTCCGCCTCGCAGCTCGCTCGGTTCATGACCAACCCCGGCCCGTCGCACTTTAAGGCTGCGATTCGTGTCCTCGTCTACTTGCGCGACACCGCTGACCGCGCTCTTGTCATGCGCCCTGATCCCGTCCGTGGCCTCGAGAGCTTTGTCGACTCTAGCTGGGCGACCAAGTTTTCGTGCTCCGGCGGGATGTTCTTCTACTACGGGTGCCTGTTTCATTGGTTCTCCAAGATGCAGCGCTCCGTCACGCTTTCGAGCGCCGAGGCCGAGTTCTTCGGCGCCATGCTCGCCGCCAAGGAAGTTATCTTCATCCGCGAGCTACTGATCGACCTCGGTTTCATCATCGACGCCCCCAGCGTCATCAAGTGCGACTCCAAGTCCGCCGTCGGCATGGCCTTCGACCCCGTCGCATTCAAGAAGACCAAGCACATCCTGCGCGCCGCCGAGTTCCTCCGTGACCTTGTCGCACGCGAGGTCGTCTCTGTCGAGCACCTCCCCGGCGCTGTGATGCTCGCCGACATCCTCACCAAGGCTGCCTCTCGCGCCGTCTTTGTCGAGCTGATCAAGCAGCTCGACACCTTTGCATGATCACGTCAGTTGCGCTCTAGGGGCTGTAGTTAGTCCCCCTTTTCACTGTGTTGTGTCCCTCGCACCCCCGTGCTCTGGCCAGGAGGGGCTGTTCCCGGGGGCATAACTCCCCCACAGCGCAGACGTTCACACTTCCACACCCACAGTGCCCGTCCAAGACTGCCCGTCCAAGACTTGTCTTGTTGGTCCTGGACCTGTCTGTTGTAACTGCTTGATTTTATGTCGTTTCGCTCCATCACGCTCTCGTTCCCCTCGATGCTGGCGTTCGCCGCGCTCCATTGCCTCGCGCGCGCGTCCTCTCTGCCGATGGCATCGTTCACGGATAAGAAGAGAAACTATGCACCGGGACACGCTGTGGTTCAGACGGCCACCACACAGGGATTTTAAGCGCGCACGAGCAGGATTTTGGAAGGACGATACCCCCTGAATCGTAGTTATGCCGTCCACTTTAGAGCTGTGAACGTGAACAGTCAACAGAGTGGTACCAGCACTGTGGGTCGTTGCGGCACGCATGGGGGGCCTCCCGGACGTATGATCCTAGCCCAATACATCCCACGGAGCACATCTCGATTTTTGACAGAATTAAATGCACTGCCCCCGCACGGTACTAATAGTCGTAGTTTTGGTCCCGGTGCCCTTCACGGCACCACACCGCCGCTTGACAGCCCGAGATTAGCCTAGCAGTGAGTGGGCATCGCCTGCCGGTCGGCTGGGCACGAGCCAAGCACTTGGGTGGCCGTCGACCGAGTCCGGGCGGCGCCTGAGGTGGGTGCCACGGCGTCTGCACGAAGGCGTGGCGGGGTGAGGAGCCAGGAGTGGTGAACACCTCCCCGTCGGGCGCGCGACGCGCCGGATGGTCCGCCGAGGCCGCCGCCGCCCCGGCGGCGGCGATGGGGGCGGCGGGGCCGACCCGGCCGGCGTTTGTCGGCTCCACCTACAGAAGAGCAGTCTCTGTGGGTCGACGATACTAACTCGGTAGTAACGCGGAGCGGTGCTGTGCGGCGCCGAGTCGTGCGCGAGGCGACCTCCTGAGGCTACCTGAGCTGGCAATGGATGCCACCAGGACGCACGGCTAGCAGGAGCCAGTCAGGCATGCCCTGCTGTGGAGCAGAGCCGGCTGGCGCACCGGCGATACTAACTCAGCGCGCCGCGAGAGGCGAATCTGGGCGACTTTGGAGGCGCAGTTCTCGAGCTTGCCGTCGACGATTGATGTCGGGTAAATTGTCACTGCCGTCCGGGCAGGTCTTCTCTCAGCAGGCCGAGCGCCGTGGCTTGGCTCGGCTCGCCGCGAACGCCGCGAATTTATCGGACCAAAACTCACGACACCTCGATACTATTCAACAAAGACTACGATCTGGGGGTACTCGAAATTCTTCTTTGATCAGACGCTCTTGCGAGTCCTCCCTTGCGGGTTATCGGCTCCTATCTGCGAGAGTCAGACCAGCGGCACCGAGATCCCGTCGCACCCTACGGACGGTGCGTCGAGAAGGAGACAAACCCACAGAGAACGACGTACAGACAGACCAATTATCATCTGCGTCTGCACTCATCGACGCACGCCCGGGCATTTTGGGTTTGGGGTTGGGCATTTAAGCACTCCTCAAAGATCTGCGCCAGGTTATAGAACTCGGAGCAGTCGACTTGCATACAAGCGCTCTCGCACTCTGTGCTTGAGTCGACGAACAGCTGGCAGACGAACTGTTCCTGCTTCATGTTCACAAAGTTGGACGTCTCGGCCGAGACGTAGCCGGAGTAGTGCACACACGGGTGTCCCTCCCACGCCGTCTCGCCGTCACTGCAGTGCCGGTGTTCCTCCACCTTGAAGACGGAGATGCCCCACGCCTGATCGCCCTGCTCCGGGCCGCACGTCAACGTCGGCTCGAGCAGCGCGATGTTCTTGTGGTCCCATGCGCTCGAGACCAGCGCGTCCGCCTCTGCCGCATCGCCCTCGATGGTCTTCGCGAGGTGGTGAGGGAAATCGGTGAACTTGACCGCCGTCTGCGGGTAGTAGTTGAAGGCGATGTCGGCGATGAAGTGGGCCGCGGTATCGCCCTCCGTCTCGCTCGCCCCGACGTCGCGCTCCTTGATCACGACGTTGAGGTTCGAGCAGAAGCCGGAGGTGGCGATCAGCCAGGCGGGGTCGTCGACCACGTCGGGCACGGGAGAGGGCTTGGGCGCAAAGGCGAGGCCGCGAGCGGTTGGCTTGACGTCGTGAACGGTGTTGGCCTGCGCACGCCAGTCGGCCGGTGCGGCGCGTGAGATTCAGCCTGCCTGTGTGGGTAATTGTGGCAGGGCGGAGCGGTGCCGGCAGGGCAGACGCCGAGAGCGCGGTCACGAGCAGGTCATGCATGTACCCCCAAGCCTCCGAGCGCCGTTTTTCAGAAAAACTAGCAGACCTTGCGCGCACGCGCGCCAAATTTGTTTTTCTGTCTGCAACAACCCCGAGGGGTGAAATGTCTTTGTTGTCTCTGTAACGAAGGGCCCGCCGCTCCGCCTACGCCGTTTTCCAGAAAATAAAAGCCGGAAGAGGGCCGACACCTCAAAGGTCAGAGCGAGAGACGGACACCACAGAGCGAGAGACTGCCCCACGCGTGCTATCTCGCCCCCGTGGTCCTCTCTCCTCTCCTGCCACACTCGCAGTGACATGGTACGCGACGTCATGCTGGAGGGACGAAAGGCGGGGCCGAGCTAGATTGCGACGTAGACTGCTTCCCTCGCCGCCGCCTGGACCAGCGCGCGGTGTCCACGGCGCTCCCGCCGGTCGATGGCGAGCAGCCCTAGCGCGAATGATGCCGGAGCCACAACTATGCCGATCAGAACGACGCCCGCGATCAGGAGACTCAGACTTGGCAGGGAGTGCGAGGCTGGGCGAGGCGCTTGCTGCAGGGCGATTGGCTCACTCTCAACCGCCGCCGTCTCAGCCGTCGTCTCTTCCGAAGCCTCGCCCGACGCCGGCTCGGGCTCCGGGTCCGGAGCAGGATCCCACCAGGGGCCCCACTCGCCTGGCAACGGCGGCGACGGCGGCGACGGCGGCGACGGCGGCGACGGCGGCGACGGCGGCGACGGCGGCGATGCCGACGGAGGCGAAGGAGGCGTGGGCGAAGGAGGCGTCGGAGACGGTGGCAGGTGGTGGGCCTTGTGGGACGGAGGGGACGGAAGTGTCGGCGGCGGAGGCGAGTGCTTGTGGTGCGGCGGCGGTGGCGAGTGATGGCGGTGATGCGCGCTGTGGAGCTCGATCAGGCTCTCTGAGAGCGCTGCCGTAAGCGAGTCGCTCGCCAACGGTGTCGGTGCCGCGTGCGCGAGGGAGAGGATCGCTATCGCCAGCATCGCGAGGGCCCGCGCCAGATTGAACGCAAGCATGCGAGTTTAGGCCGCCGGCAACGAGTGCTGAGTTCGCAATCTCGGCGGTGACGACCCCCAACCCATCCGACCCCTCCCCCGGCGGTGAAACTGCTAGATATCTGACAAT